GCAGCACCGCCGGTTTCGAGGCTAAGAAAAGGGAACCTCTTTGGCAGTGCGTAAAGAATTGCGGTGCCTGCTGTAAGTTGGACAAGGGTCCCGCTTTCCCCTCCCCTTAAGAAATCTTCGACGATCCTTCTAATATTCAAGTACTTTCATTTCCGTTTTCGCATCAATTTCTTAACTGCAACAACTATTTGTGTGGGAAAAAAATGGTGCCCTAATCATGCTCTGTTTCTTTTCTCAAACGTAATTGGTTATGTTATTTAAATTTAAACTTGCATGATTCACAATTTTAAATGGAAGAGTACTAGCACACTATTAGTCTTGACATTTTAGACTACAATACATTTTAGAAGGAAAATATTGGATTTTTCTGGAACCAACACTACTTTTACAATAAAGGATTTCAACATTTCATTCAAGAAGCTTATGAACTCACCAACTTAATTGTTGACACTTTTTCGGGAAATCAACGAATCCAGGTAACCACAGGCTTTTGAGGATGGAACGCTACGACGTTGAACAACTATTTTTACCTCATGTTGTAATCAATCATTTTGAAATATGTAACACTTGAAACTATGTAATTCTTTTCCAATTATATTTATGATTGGTTGTATTGCTTTGATCACTATTGTACTCGTTGTTATGATACTATACATGAAATCCGCCACCCTCCCGGACGTTTCCGCTATCCTAGGTTTGGGGTGTGACAGAGATGATGTGACGTTGTAGACATGCAACTTCATCTGTTGGTGTTCATATATATGTTTATGGTGGTCTTCGTGAAGATGTACAATTATATCCAATCATTTAGAATTCTATTAAATAGAAAGATTACCATAAGTGCATGTAATGATTTAATGATTTTAAACTGGGAAGCATGATTTATGAAGTAACCGAAGGAGTAGGAAGAAAGGATATTATCACTATTGAGAAAGGGGATATTGCCACCATAACTACAGGTAATGATTTTAATTAATTCTAAGAGGTGGTATAGAAGAATTGACAGTTTCTTTCAGTAATACGTGTGTTGTTGTTGTTGTCTCCTTGTGTTGTTTCTTCAGACGAAGATCTTGATAGATAATGGGAATGACGAGCTCAGATGACAATGTTGTTGTTGTCATCATGGTTGTTGGTCCTACAAAAGGTATTCTTAATTCCTTATTAAGTAAGTTTAATTTTGAACCTTGTATTTGTTTTTATCAAGGTTCTAAATAGCGTGAGGCGTGGCGTGACGGCAAGGTCAAGCCTCAAGCTTAACGAGCCATGGCGAGCCATGACGTTTTTCAAGGCGTGATGTAAGACGGCGATTTTGTATTAATTTAAAATTATATTACCACATAAATATAAATTTATATTAAATATAACTACTTTTTATAAGTGTTAGATCAATAACTAGTAACAAAAATTTAACGAAAACCACAATAACTGTATCTCCGATTAGAAAAGACATAACAAATAGCAAAAAACTGTATCTCAAACGAAAAAACATGCGCCATAACACTCCATGGCACGCCATATCACGCCTTGCCACGCGCCACGCCTAACAACAATGTTATGAAGCTTTTCGTAACGGCGAAGCCACGCCTCACGCCATGGCGCGCCTTTTAGAACACTGGTTTTTATACCATTATGCCAATATCCCTCAAGAAATCAACAGACTAAGGTGCATGGTTAACTATCATGCTCTCAAGTTTCTTCTAGAGATTGATGATATCGCTGAACAGCTGGTGGCAAGGATAAGAAATCGAACAGGGAGTCCAAATCCTTTTATGTAGGCTTTGATTTTTTAAAATTATTTGATTTGTTAGTTTTCAAGGGTTTAAAAAGTTGCAATAATGAATATGTTTTTTAACTGAACATGCCTCTTCATCTTAGATTTGAGAAGGGGTGATAGGGCTTTCATTTTGTGGCTTTGTGGAGGAAGGGCAGAGAAAGCTTTGATGAGATTATACAGATTAAAGGAATGGCCTGTGTGATTTAAGGTTAGATGTTATAAATTAATGTTTTTTTTATTGATAAAAATTAAAATATGAAGTTTGCTTGGTTATTGATTGTGCAGGATGACCCATGCACTACAAAAAGGAAAGAATGGCGCTGCCAGCTCGAGCCCTAGTCTATCGGGGAATATGACTTATCAAGGTAATTAACTTTTCGGTATGTTCACATCTGGGTAACTATCTTTTTTTTGTACATATGTAGGTAACAAACTTTTTGGAAGTGTTCACATATGACCATTATGACCTGCTATAGCAGGTTAAATCCTAGATGTGAACTCTTTCAACAAGTTTGTTACCTAGATGTGTACAAAAAAAATAGTTACCCAAATATGAACAAAATGAAAATTAAAAATTAAATTACATGAATGGTCCCTGTGGTTTGGGGGAATTTGTGGTTTTTGTCCCTAATTTATTTTTTTTAACTTAAATGGTCCATACTATTTATTTTTGTTGCGCGTTTGGTCCCCGTCTTACCTAAAAATACTATTGTGCCTTTATTAATTTATTTTTTTAATTAATTTTCTTATCTATGTGTTTATTTTATACATATTTAAAAAAATTAATAGACCACACATATTTGTATCTCCTCGGATGATCTCTATTGTTTATTTTTAATTAATTTTTTTTATTGGATGATCCTTACTATTTATTTTTGTTACGCGTTTGGTCTCTGTCTTATCTAAAAATACTATTTTTCCCTTATTAATTTTTTAAATTAATTTTCTTATTTATGTATTTATTTTTTATAAAAAAATTAATATACCCCACATATATGTATGTTATCACCGTAAACCTGAAATCACATTTGAGAAATTTAATTTGAGTCTTACCATTCACCATCTTATCTCTGATCCCCCCCATCTTCTATTTCTTTTCCATCTTTAGTAACATCAACGTCTTCACCGTCCTTTTTTTTGGTACTTCAACTCTGGAGAACCAACATCATAACCTACTGTCTCTTCATATTTAGTGGGTTGTAGTGTTGTTTCGACGGAGTTGAAGGACCGAAAAAAGAAGTGATGATGAAGACGTCGATATCACTAAAGATGAAAAATAAATAGAAGTTGAGAATGAAGAAAGATGGGATGGTGAGGAGATACAGATATGTAAGGTCTACTAATTTTTCTTAAACATATAAAGCATAAGTACATAAACAAGAAAAATAATTAAAAAAATTAATAAGGGCACAATAGTCTTTTTAGGTAAGACAAAGACGAAATTTGTAACAAAATTAAATAGTATGGACCATCCGAGTTAAAAAATTAAATTAATTAAAAAATAAATAGTAGGGATCATCCGAGGAGATATAAATATGTGTGGTATATTAATTTTTATAAATATGTAAAAAATAAACATAGATAAGAAAATTAATTAAAAAAATAAATTAATAAGAGCACAATAGTATTTTTAGGTAATATGGGGACCAAACGCGCAACAAAAATAAACAATAAGAACCATTTAAGTTTAAAAAAATAACTTAGAGACCAAAACCACAAATTCCCCAAAACTACAGGGACCATTCATGTAATTTAATTTTTACTTTTCGTTTTGTTCATATTTGGGTAACTATTTTTTTTTGTACACATCTAGGTAACAAACTTATTAAAAGCGTTCACATTTAGGATTTAACCTGCTATAGCAGGTCATAATGGTCATATGTGAGCACTCCCAAAAAGTTTGTTACCTACATATGTACAAAAAAAAGATAGTTACCCAGATGTGAACATACCGAAAAGTTAATTACCTTGATAAGTCATATTCCCTAGTCTATCGTGGACAAAATCATATGGCCCCACTTACAAACATGTTCACAAATCTTGTGTGTGCCATTTCTTTCAACTTCAAACCACCAAAAAAAACCAACTTTTCCAATTAACCTTTTATGGTTTATTTATAAATTATAACTATGACAAGTAACGGGAATATTATTTACCCAGTTCAAGTGTAGCCATTGTAAAGGTACTCTTAATGTATGATGATATTAATAATGACTTTTCTTTTATGATGTTTATTTCATATTATCTATAGGGGACATTATTCTAATTAGCATATGTTTGCGCATTATAAATTAAGAACAACTATATAGTTTATTGATAATCAAGTATATGGTGTAGACTATTCGCAAGATGGATTGGGGTGACATTAGGCTAAAGAATAAATGAATAATAAATAAATAAAGCCCAACCGACCATATGTTGACTGCTTTTTTTGGTTCATGCCAACAGAAAATAAGAAAAAGAAAAGAAAAGTAAAAAGAAATGTCTCCTGTCTCTTTAATCGAAGTTTTTTTTTTAATTTTTTTTAAAATTATTTATTTATTTATTTATTTAAAAAAAAACAAATAGCACCTATTTTACTACATTTGCCTCATCATTTGTTTTCTTTTTATACTAACATTGTGTGGTTTTCTAAAAGGTTTAGAATATGAGAAACATAAACTTTACTATATGATCCTACACCATCATCCCCACAACACCAGAACAAGAAGAGTACAAATCTATGAAGAACATCCTCGAAGAGGCAAAATCAGATGACCTGTCCATGGAAGACAACATGGAATTCATGATCGGATTAATCTATAAGAGAATCGCAATTTACAAACGTCTAATGAAAAAAACACATACTGATTAGATTGACTTTCACTTCGGATACATAAATGAATAAATCATGTACCGTTGCCTCCTTTTGCCTATCATTTAATCCAAATAAATCCGACCCCTGCTACGCGGAGCCCTTTGCTAGTTCAATATTAAATTAAATGTGACTTATTGACAAACGGATAGATGAATCAAAACAAAATTTTTGATCAATTGTTTGGAAAAAAAGGTGTAGTTTAAACCAAAATATTTAAGTTTTTACATAATTAATACCGTAATAAAAATAAAATGTTATGATAAAAAATTAAATGCCAAATTTTGGATTAGTTCGCAAAAAATTTCGCGGCTGTGTACATTGAAATTTGGAATGACTGAGGTCCCAAGATAAGAAGATACAGTTTTTGCAATGTCGAGGGCGATGTTAGCGGTTGTTCCCTCTATCGCCGCCGTCAAACCGGCACCGGAACAACCACACCGGAGTCAAGTCTCAATAAAAACCCAGAAAAAGGCTTCCGGCAGCAGCACCGCCGGTTTCGGGGCCAAGAAAAGGGAACCTCTTTGGCAGTGCGTAAAGAATTGCGGTGCCTGCTGTAAGTTGGACAAGGGTCCCGCTTTCCCCTCCCCTGAAGAAATCTTCGACGATCCTTCTGATATTCAAGTACTTTCATTTCCGTTTTCGCATCAATTTCTTAACTTCAACAGCTATTTGTGTGGGAAAAAAATGGTGCCCTAATCATGTTCTGTTTCTTTTCTCAAACGTAATTGGTTATGTTATTTCAATTTCGATGAAAGTTTTTTAGGGCAAATTGAACTAAAGAAGGTAATGAGGTTGAATTCAATCTTCAAATCATATTTATTCTCCATTTTAAGAATCACTGTTTTTCTTTTATGTTCAGCTATATAAAAGCTTGGTAGGCATGGATGGGTGGTGCATCCATTTTGAGAAAAGCACAAGAACATGCTCCATATATGCTGGTATGCATTTTCTGTAAGATCTTTTATTATGCCTACTAGGTTCCACTCGACATTCATACATGTTATGATATAAGTTTGATAATTTCAGATCGACCATACTTTTGTCGAGTTGAGCCAGATGTTTTTGAAACTTTATACGGAATTGACAAGAAAAAATTCAACAAAGAAAATTCAACAAAGAAGCTTGCAGGTTAGATTATAGATTCTTCTCTCAACCAAAATTCTTGAATACCTTCAAAGATGACATATAGGAAAATCTTCTGAACCAAAATCCATATTATGATTTATATGGAATGCATAATGCTTATGATCTTGTTTGCTTTTCCCTGCAGTAGCTGCATAGATACAATTAAAGCTGTTTATGGCTCTCAATCAGAGGTATTGGACAAATTCAAAAAATGCAATTAGGAGCTAACTTACAACATGATAATTTATCTTGTTAGTCTTTGAAATCACTCATTGACATTATAGTGTTGATAAATCGCATGTGATAATTTGTTCTTGGCTTTCAGTCAGATTCACTTTCTACTAAAATGTAGTCAAATGGTATTTATAGTTTTAGTTTTATTATTAATTGGAAACTTCATAATCTTTGATGAAAAAATCTATTTTTGTATTAGCAGTTAGTTTAATGTGCTCATGAATCATGATCGACTAAAAGTCCTGAAAATAACTTATAAACTGGGATTTAATAGTTTATGATTTTGATTTTGGTAGACAAATGGGGATCTGTACTTGAATCAATAAATTAAATGATCTGGTGATTTGCCAGGTTAATTTCAGTCACAACACAAAACCGTCAAAGTTGTGATTTTTAACATCAAATTTTATTTCCAGATGGAATCCAACATTTAAAATCACATCAAAAACATACTTGATAGTTGATAGTTTAGTAATAAGATAACACATTATAAATATGGTAAATGTTACAAAAAACACTATTTTTACATTGAAATTCGATTTTGACGCCGTATTTTTTTTTTTTTTTTTTTTTGTTAATTTTGATACTGTGTTTTCCAATTTGTTACAATTCTGACCACTTGACCGGTTAACCAGGTTACACGCTGATATGACATGATGATGTGTCAGTTTTTGATGACGTGGCATGCTGACATGATATGCTGACGTGTTAAAATTGATTTTTTTTCCACAAAAAATACTAAGTTTTCATTTTTTTTTTCGATTTTGATACCAAGTTTAATTTTTTATTTCAATTTTGATACTATGTTTTTTTTTGTTCCAATCGAACATTATTTATCAAATTTTGTTTAATTTTGTTTATTTTCCATTTGAAACCGTATAAATATATTTTTTTATTATATTTTAAACCGTATAAACATATTTTTTTGCTTAAAAACAGATTTTTATTTAAATACAATGTGTTTTTTTTCCTTACATTCAAAACATTAGTTATATATCATGAGAATCAAACTAACCATAAGTTTCTAATAAGATGTAAAAATTTGATGGGTTATAAACTTGATATCTGAGTTTTAATCGATTACACGCTTCCAAACCTCCAAACACATTTTAAAGTTGCATATTTAATGTAAAATACAATTTTTATATAACTAATACATATTTATATATAAAAATATAGTTGAAGTGTAAAAAAAATGTATTTATACAAAACTATGGTTTCTAAATGAAAAAAAAAACATATTTATACGGTTTAAATGTATTAAAAAATATTTATATGGTTCTATACTTAATATTACATACATGACAGTCACATATTCACTTTTCCCTATATATATATATATATATATATATAATATATATATATATTATATATATTATATATATATATATATATATATATATATAATATATATATATATATATATATATATACTGTCTAGAAAAGAGACAAGTAGATTATTTTTATTTAAATTGAGTCTTTTCTTTATTTATTTCCAATATTTACTTACATATATTATAAGTTTTAGAGTCCTAATAGGTTTACGTTTTTAGTCTATACATAAACTATATAAATTAAACAGGTCATGTCTTATGTAATTTTATGTTTTGATCGATTAATAAGAAAAGAGTCGAAAAAGGTTTTCTTCAATCCGAGAATCACACACATCCGACACACAAAACTGTCCCTAGGTTTCCATTTTGTTTGGCAATACACAACCTAAATTGTCTGTTAATTGTAGTTTAGGCTACATCAGGTGGTATTATAGTTCTCGGGAGAACAAGCTGATCCTGATAAGATCGATCAGATGGAACAAACCCTCAAAGGGTTCCAATTTACCCTTCAACAAATCACCTAAACCTTAGTTGTTCTTGCGACCTAGGTGCGTGCTCCCCAAGGTTAACCGACTGTGCAAATTAATGACCAAATTCTTGCTCGCAACAATCAACTACCCAATCAGTGAATTCAATCCAGACTAGCGAAATCAACAAAGGAATCAAGCATAGGAACTACTCAAGTAGCAGGCAGGTAGTAGGCAGCAGGAGCTGGTGAGGATTTCGACCTTGACGATGATAACGGAGATGAAGAAACAAGAGGTGGAAGGTGATGGGTTTCGCGCAATACATCATTCCTATGGTGTACATGCAAAATCTAATAGCTTTTGGATCTAGTTTGTCTAATGAGCATGCAATTGAATATCCAAAGATATAAACCCTAGATCTAACATACAATTAATCATATTAACATAAAACAGGGTTTAGATCTGGCCTATGATTGTTATATAGCAATAACAATCAATCCTTGGCTTCAGAAAGCTTAGTGCCTCAAGTGTTGCACCTCTAATGGAGTCACAAACACCACTAAGCCACTTGGATGAAGAGGGAGGAGGGAGGTGTGACATCCCCAAAATCACGGCCAGAAAAGACCGATTTTTTTTGTTTATGCTTTATTAAAATTAGAGTTCTTCATTTTATAAAAATGTTATGGAATTTGTTTCCAGAAAAACATGGTAAATACGTTATTAAAACATTTTCGAAGAAACGTATTTATTTCGTTTTAAAACGTTTGGGATGTCATCGTTAATACAAAAACATAAGCATAAACAGAACTTACAATTATTTACACTAGTGATCTACATCTCTTTAAATCTCTCAGTGTATTGTGACTTCATATCAACACCTGTGATATAAATAAACTGAGTGGGTCAGGTTGGGAAACCTAGTGAGCACATAGGGTTTTCAACCCACAATAATATAATTATTATTTTTAAACATCAAACAATCAACCCAATTACCCATTCCCGTTATCCTCACATTACGTCCCTAAAACATCTAACACAAGGGACCTAGTCAAAGGACTATCATTGGGATGGAGTATATCTGGTGAGCACACAGTTCACACAGTTCGAATAAACACACAGTTCAAATAAACACCTACAGGTTGCGAGCCTGCTAGTGTTCCACTGGACTGTCTAGAATAGTCCGTGGTCGTCATCTATACTCCGCTAGATGACTAGATCATCAAGAACAGCTATAACGAGGCATCTCATTATTTCATTTTATCACACAACGACTAATACATCTACCCATGTTTTACCCAACACATTTTGTAGATATAAAATACATATACAGTTTAAATCATTGAAAACATGTATAAAACGTTCATCCAGCATAGATAGCAAGTATACAGATAATATACACACACAACACGTAATTTATATAAAATACTTCATATCTATGTGTAAGCTGAAAGTAACTATGCACTCACCTGATTAGGTGGTGACTCAGCACTCGGACAGCGCTTCGATACTCTCACAACGATTTTCCTTCGATAAAACCTAGTATCGATGCCACTAGGGTTTAGTCTAATGATAACCGCAACAAATTAATTGTCTGACTATTATTATTATTATATAAGAGTTAATAACACTCAATATAACTCATAATAATAGCTCAAATAATTATTTTAAGGACCTAATAACATTCCTATATTAAAACATAAGCTAAACTAAAGATAGGTTAGGCGTAGCTCACTTACAGCGGGTTTTCTCGAAAACCGGGCTTCGCTGAGCAGCGTTCTCGAGCCGAAAGACCCTTTTTCTCGGGACTCCGGGAGCCTCGGGGCTTCCTTCGGGTGCTAGGGAGGGGGTTTACCTAGGCTTTTAGGGGGGTTAGGGAGCTTAGAGAGAGAGTTTAGAGAGAGAAAGAAGAGGGGTGAGGGGTGAGGAAATGAGGGAACCCGACACCTCTATTTACAGGGGTGGAATCTGATGGACTCGCCGAGTAGGGGGGACCTACTCGCCGAGTTGGTCCATGTGGTGGCCTTCTGGTGGTGCCACGTGTCCAATTCTGGTGGTGCCACGTCACCCCCTATCGCGTATCAGCCTTCAAACTTAGAAAAATCATAACTTTCGCATACGAGCTCCGTTTTCGACGTTCTTTATATCCACGCGTAGGTAAAATCAAGATCTACAACTTTTGTTTAGACTCTGTCGGCTAATTCTCGACCGATCTCAAATTTAACAGTAGGAGGAGTTTAGACTGTTAAATGACCGCAAAGAGTTCATAACTCCTTCATACGTACTCCGTTTTTGTCTGTCTTTTTACCGTTGAGTTCCTATTAATGAGATCTTCAACTCTCATTTAGGTCACGTAAGCCAAAAACCGCTCGAACTAAAATTCGAGTTTCGGGCCGTGCACTGCTAAGCCGAATCTTAGAAAAATCATAACTTCTTCATACAAAGTCAGATTTGGGCGTTCTTTTTATCGATGTTCTTAGTTTAACATATTCTACGATTTTTGTTTAGATTCCTAAGGATAAATCTCGTTCTATCGTAAATTCACTATTTACGCTTCCCGGTGCCGTGCCGGTTTTGCCGTAAAACTTCGACGGGCCATAACTTCTTCGTTATAACTCGGATTTCGGCGTTCTTTATATGTACGGAAACCTTGTGACATATTCTACAACTTGGTTAAGATTATTTATTCTAAATAATCTTTTGTCGAAAAGTCATTTTCGACCCCTATTGCCTCTAAATTGACTAGCCCGGATCTGCGGGCGTTACAGGAGGAGGCACCAAAAATGGCTGGAAACCCTAAAGGAACTCTTAGCCACGTTTTTGGGGCATAGGGACCCTTTATATACATTTAGGCTATTAGGATTTACAACTAGGAAACCCTAATCTGACTGCTTAAGCCCTAAGCAGCCATTGGACTCCTTTAGCATATCCCTTGGACCAAATTCCTTATGGGTTCACCATAGAATTCGTCCAACCTATATATTATTAGGTAATCCATAGCCCAATTGTAATTATCTTATAATTACAACACTAGTCCCCTAAGTTTAATTAATCTCTTTTAACCACAGAATTAATTCTTAATTAATTCTTGACTAATATTAATTAAACATTATGATTTCTCCTT